TCAGTCGCTGCAGGACAAGCTGTTGGCGGCTGGCGACAGCTCCAAATCAGAGCTTATAACTGCTCTTTGTGAGGCAGGCGGCGACCTCGACGCCCTCAACGCCACGTTTCAAGCCGAAAGCATCAGCACCAGAACCAGCTCTAACAAAGACAGCTGGGCGCCGATGACCGAAAAGCAGCTGCATGATATGTATGGAGACACCACAGCAAAGCAGATCATCCACCACAAGAAGCTGAGCGGCCAGGAGGTGGATGATGTGAACTGCCCAGGCGTGAAGGTGTACATAATGACCAAGAGCAAGAGGCAGGCAGCGCTGTGTGTGTGTGTGTGGCGCAAATGTGTTTTGTCTGGGTGTGTGTGATCGAGGATGTCATAACAATAATTCCAACACGTATCCTCCTTGGGTAAACAGTCGTGCTGTTGCCAATGTAAGACTTATCAACTCCATTACTGAGTGTTTCATGTCACCAATAAAATGCATGAGTTGTGAAGCTCCCTTTTCCCCATCCAACCCAGTTTGTGGATGGACGAAAGCCTGAACCACCTTAAATTGAAACCATAGTAAACCCCTATCACATTGGTACTTCGAGCAGGCCCTGGTGCAGGATTTTGTCCATCCACAGTAGACCCCCTGAAACGACGCAAGTCTGATGTCATTCATTGTTCTGACAGTTCAAGTTGGTGGGCCATGTGGGATTGCAAGCTATCTCCGATACCAACCGGGAAGTTTGATAAGGCGGTATGTGTCGGGGGTATGTTTCAGGGTATGTCTCGGGGAGCATGTTTCGGGAGTATGTTTCACTGGCGTCGAACTTCCAGCACAGTATAAGGGAACAAAAGGTGGTATATACCCCCTTATATATGGAGCCCCAGGCACTACATACCACTTATATAAGGGGTATATCTTGCCGAACCTGGACACTCGACCACAAATACAAACCCATGTGTTTGCAAGTTGAGCCGGCTTCCTGCAACGAAAACTCAAATTATATACTGTTGACTGGGTAGGTGCGGGGAGTTTGTTTGTGGCGACCACCAACAACAACAGCAAGCACAAAACACCAGCCATACTACTGCCACACAGTCACGGGTACACACACGCACACACACCGACATCACCATCCAATTTTCACAAACCATTGGGTGAATGTGCCTTCGCCTGCAACGCCAGGGAGAGCGGCGAGGTGCACGAGGATCGCGACCTGGCAGTTCATTTCAGCTTGGCTGATGATCAGCCGGGCGAATTATTAATTGTGCCCCCCCCGTAACATGCTATATACAGAACCCACATTTTGTAGAACCAATCGGGCCGGTTCAATTGCCGCCTCTAAGATCCACAAAATGTATATTTAGTCTTTTGGGGCTTTACCCTATACCCTGAACTTGATATACAAAGCCCCCCAGTAACCTGTCGTCGCCCTTTTTTTTGGGAGGGTGTCCTTTTTATGAGTGGGCCACTGGTGGACCTAGTGTACCTGCTGGTGTTGCTATACTTGGGCAGATGCTGTTCTGTACAACCCATCAACTTAAAGTGACACATTTGTTCATATTGTTTCTTGGCCATGTGCACTGGTATATTGGGGGTCGCCAAATAGGTTCGAACAAACGGGTTCTAGCATGCATCAAGGACTCAACATGGGTTTATTTAATAGTAAACTAGCTGCTGCTCCCTAGAACCCGTTTGTTGGAACCCGTTGGTTTCCCTATATATGGGCAACAGGAGTGGCCCTGACATCCACCAAGGCTATCACCACTTGCCAACAAACGGGGTGTGGATGGACAAGATCCTGCACCATCTAAGATTCCCTAGAAAAAGGGATTCTACTGTAAATGCCAAATGAATAGGGGCTTATCATGGTTCCAGGGTGGTGCAGGATTTCGTCCATCCACAGTATATGTTGAAGGCTCCCTATGCAGCGCAATGCTTGGGACCAACCTCCATATTTGTTTCAGACACAATTTAATGCGAATCTTTTTTTGACAATGATGGGATAGTTGATGGTTGCAAATGTTTTAGGGGCTTCGCCCAGGAAAGCGCATCCGCACTGCCAACATGAAGGTGGACGCATCGAACATTGATGCAGTTGCAAGTACTATGCGCCTCCGCTGCACTCATGAACAATGCTGTAGAACCAAGGTTCATGTTCACTGTTTCATGCCATTGACCCCCTGAAGGGCGCCTTCTAAGCTCTCTTCGGGGTGTGGCACTCCATTGACATCTGCACCCGCTACCCCTTCACAGGCGACGGATCCGCCCCAGAACTCGCAAACCGAGAAGACCAAGCGACCAAAACCTGCAAAGGAGGTGACCCCCACAACGCCGCTTCAGAAGGGATCTGACCTTGCGGAAAGAATCTTGAAGAAGAAGAATGAGGCATCATCCTTGTGCACACAGCTGAGCACTCTTCAGTTTGGAGCCGGGCTGAAGACCAACATTGAGAGCTTTGTTGCCAAGTTTGAGTCTCTGTACAGTGACGTCCGCAAACTTGTGGGATCCAAGTGCAACGAAGAAGTCACTTACGTTCCCCTTGTGAAGCGGTTCTTAGAGCTGCAATCTGAATATGATGTCCCGAAGGACGCAGCGTTGGGAATGACCAAATCCATCAAGGTCCGAAAATCGGAACCTAAGAAAAAATCATCTGCAAAGAAGCCAAAGTTGGACTAGTTGTGTTTTTTTTTTGTCATGGTGCAGCTCAAGCCCTGCGGCACTTCAAACCGATCGATGCCCAATCAAAGTGTTGAACCAAAACAAGAAGGACTGGTTGCCATGGGCCTTTCTTTTGGGTTCCACATGCAGGGAGAAACATGCGCCTTGCTACATTTCAGTGGCGCCCGCAGGGCTTGGTGGTGCCCTCACACATGGTGTGACCGAAAAGGATTGGGCTTCGTTTGTGACCCTGCCACAAACGGCGGGGTGCTGGCGAGCTGGCTTCTTGCTGTGCGCTTTATGACCATAACACCTGCATGCCATGTCTTTAAGTCTTTGGGGGTGCACAGGGAGAGCCAGTGCGCTATCACAGTGGGGTGCTCCGGAAACAAAAAGATGGCGGCGCTCGTCATGTGTCAGCTTCACCAAGAAAACAATGGCTTTATCCAGAACATTGCATCATTGTGCAGCTGGCTATAGTATAAGGAACACTGTCACTGCAGCATGCCCGAAAACCCATGCCTGGGTCCGTCCCTCCTGCCCATGGCCTGCAGGTACAGCCACGCATCGTCGGGCCATCGCAAGCCTGACAGGAAGAGGCGGTGTGTGCAGTCCCGCAGATCCATCAAGGGGTGTGGGCGGGCCTGTGTTGCGAACCCTTGAGGCTCTCATGTTGGGCCCCGTTTCAATTTCCAAATCAGGATTTTTTTGGTTGGAGACCTTTCCATCCCGAAAGAAACCTCTTGCACCATACAGTATATGGCCCTGTGACGATCATCCAAACATGATTCTGGAATTCGTGGTCAAAATAGGGAAGCCTTTCTGGATGTGCTACCATTCCATTGCGTCTTTGGTGTGAAGCATGGGAGATTGCAGTGTGATGTTTCCCACCCCCGTGTGCACGAAACCCGTGAGACCCTGTTAGTTCCAGGTGCCTTGTTGATTCTGAAATTGGGGAACGACTAGGCGCATTGGGCAACAAGTCGCCACTGTATACCCCGATTATTCGTACCGTCGTCTACTGACCCAAGACCTGCATGACTGCTCTCTCACTGTGTGTTCACAGGTTATCAACAGTTCTGAAGGCTGTGTCAATGATAGTCCCGGTTAACTGGGCCAACTGTTGGGCGTCCTCTAGACAGAATGACCCTCAATGATAATGCCGGCCACAATTTGGTGATCTTTTGGGGTGATTCATGCCCTTGCCGCATATGTGTGTGTGAGAGAGAGAGAGAGGGAGAGATAGTGAGTGTGAGTGTATATAGCTATAGTTTGTGCATTGCGCAGGGGATCCCTAAATGGGCTCCAACAAACGGGATCTAGGGAATAGCAAATATTTTACCTCCATCAGCCAGTTCAACATCCTGTCCATGCTAGAACCCGTTTGTTAGAACCCGCTTAGTGATCCCCTAACAATGGCCTGAGAGGCACATGTGTGTGCGCAGCGAGAAACTTTTGAACAATAGTTGACAGTCATATTATGGCAGTGACAACACGTTTTCCCCTGGACTTGGGTCCGGGCCTGGGTTGGGTTCGGGCCCCGAACCGCGTTCGGTCCCCGAACCATGCACGCCTCGAATTCGGGTTTCGCAGGTTCCGCGTTCGGGCCCTGAGCCGGGTTCCGGGTTTTACTCAAACACACTATTCTATAAAAAAAACATATTCCTTTTTGCGCGTAAGAACAAGAACCCACTAATCTTGTCATGTTCTGGTTTTAACTCGTCTCCGCCCCGAAGCGAACACACCATTGTTTAAGCACTGAAACCCACCAGTCCAGCTAAGTAAAATGTTTGCCATTGTCTTACACTCACAGGGCTGTTGGGGCAGCGCTTGGTTGAATCCAAAAAGCCTTGCAACACAACCACTCAAGTTGAACACGATCTAATGGGACAGCATGTGCTTGGTAAAGCCAAGACCCTCACGATAGAATAACCAACTTATTGTTTTGCTAGAGACTTCAGGGTTCTCACATGCCCATTTCATACTAGTAGAACATATGGGGCCTTGAGTCTAGCATCTCAGGCTGGCTGATGAGCTGGATTCCTTGGGGTGCCAACTTCTAGCAGAAGAGGTTGGAGCTGGCGCAACTTGCCTGAGCAGGCTTTACGGTGGCGCCTCTTTTCTAGGTCCAACCCATGAGATTCCATGTAGGGAGTATTTACCAACATTTGGCGGTGTGTACAATTGGTTTCCCTACAACTGGGGTAAATGTTTTCCCTACATGGATTCTCAGTGAATGTGCGGACTAAGGCAAGTAAATACAAAGTTTGTGTGCGCTGGCGAGTTTACATGTTTTGGGGAGAAACCCGGTTACAACCATTATTCACATATGGTCTTTGTTCGGTCAACTCAGGGGCTGTCTGTGAGAAAGACGGCGCACATCGCTGCTGCTTTCGCCAGAGATGGTGTCAGAGGCCGCTCTATCACGCAGCTGGCTGCATCAGGCAGAGAGCGCGACTTTTTTCGATGGGTACGATCGCCTGTAGAACCTTACAACACAGAGGTTCCGATTATGGCCACTGTGGGGCTGGACAAAAAGATCGTGACAGCTGAGGTGGGGTTTGTACTTCCGTCGGATATGCTTGCAGCGATGTATTGCAAAGGCGAGGAGGTTATGAGACAATGCATCCTTGGCGCAGACGGTGCTGCAGGCATTGCCTCCTACTGGGCGAAGGAAGACCCGAGCTTTCTTCGGGAACTCGACCTGTCGCACGACGAAGCGCTCCACACAATCCCGATGGGTTTCCATGTGGATGGGGTGCCGAAATGGCATGATGAGAGCGCATCGTTCTGGTCGTGGATGACGCCTATGACGACAGCGAGCAGCTTGGTGACTCGCCACTGCGTTGTTGGCATTTCCACGAGCAAAGTGTGCGTTGAAACGCGGCGTGCTGTGCTCGACATCATTGCGTGGGATTTGCAATCGCTCAGGACAGGTGTCTGGCCAGTAGCTGACCACTTGGGCCGGGAGTTCGCGGCTGGCAGCTCTCGAGCGCGCCGGGCCGGCACGCGCATCGCTGGACCTTGGACAGCTTGCTTTGCGTTCTGGAAAGGCGATCAGGAGGCGGCGGTGGATGAGCACCTTATCAAGAATCATTATCGATGCAACTTCGTTTGTGACTTTTGCTACGCCTCAAAGGTGCACATGTACCTTTCCTACGGAGATCTAACAGAAAGCCCCAATTGGCTGGACACTATGTGCGTTGATGACGCTGACCCTAGTCCCTGGCGCAAGGTGGCGGGGTACTCCAGGAGGCGCAGGCTGTGGGACGGAGCCCTGAATGCACAATACAAGAAATACAGGCAAACGCGTTGGGTTAGTGCGCGATGCGCTCAAAAGGATTCACTGGCCTTATCTGAGCCTTAAGATTGAACCATTCACTTACTCCTTCAAAAACTTGAGCCTTGAGCCAAAAGTAAGCCAAAACGATACGTCCCCAAAAGTGTTTGTTGGGCTTGATGGCAAGTACAAAACTCATGCACCTGAGCCAAGCGGCCATTCGGCGCGCATGGTTTATGAAGAAACAACACGTGAACTAAACACAACACACCAAACTTTGGAATATTGTGGGGGGAACCCTGGAAGACTATTTTAGAGGGAGGCCAAAGGTTTAAGCTGTTATTTCCGGGGGCTTTGGAGGAGTGGGTTCATACCCTGAGGGTACGGACTGAGATTGGCCGAAACGAACAGTTGCACACAACGTATGAAGGCATAAGGGTATTGGCTTCATTGAGCATAGGGTCTGTAGGGTCTGTAGGGAATGAAATCCTTGCCGAGCCCAGGAATGCACATCATGCACCTTGGCACACTGCGTGACCTTTGTGGGAGTGTGATTGTATATTTCTTGGAAAGTGGCTGCCTGTCAGCAATTCAGACCTTCCCTTTGCTTTGATTGATGGCTTCGATATGCATGAGATCCAAGTGTGAGTATACCCTGTTGTTTGTGATGTTTTTTGAATCAGTAAAATGTTTCACATGGGTTCAAAACCTTGCAGACCCCGACTTATGTTGCGTAGCAATCCCGTGTTACACTGTCCATGGATTGCCCCTTTCACCTCAGGACAGATCCATGACTATGTTGGCCTTGGCCGCGGAGTGGACCCTGACGAAGCCCTGCACAGGGTAACCGTTCTGGCCCAGACGTGGGCTCGCACTCGCAAGCTGGATTTGTCAATGAAGCCTTTGTCAACAAGCCGTTTGAGCTACACTGGCTACAAGTATCCTGAACTTGACACACGGGTCAAAGCTGCCAGAACACGGGTGCTTTTTGAGTTTGTGACAAAGATGGCACTGGACATCGCCACTTGTCTTATATCAGGCCACCCCTGCCCGGGCGCGCCTCAAGCGGGATGGCAGGCACTCCATCAAAAGCGTGGCTCGCGAAAATGCAGGGGCGACACACACCAAGTTAATGTAAATATCTGGGCTTGGATGGATGTGGGATACACTCTGGGCTGGGCAACCCGGTTTCACGCAATGACAATTTTCCCAAAGTCCCCCAACAAATATTGGTGTTTGATATTAACCCTTCTCCTTTGCTGGTGTCTCAACCCACATTGGCTGCGTGTGTCGGGTCTAAACGTTGGCTATACCACTTTGACTGATACGTTCTTAGGTGTCGCAAGTTAAGCTCGAAGCCATGCATGACCCATATGGAGTTGCCGTGGTGCGAAGGTGGCAGTTATGTTGAAGTGTGGTTTGGGCAACGGGCTATGAGTCATGAGGGTTCGAGGGTTCTGTCGGCTGCTCTGGGAAAAAGTGCCAAATACGGTTTTCGATGTCTCACGTGACCCCTTTTCAAGATGCCACTTTTCTCCAAACAAGGTAAGCGCAGGTTGAAAAAGGGTACCTTTAAAGCACCTAGCCCTACCCCATGGGGGGGATTTGTGTTGATGGATGAAAATGTGCACTGGCTTTGGGCATCTTCAACTTCAGGAACAAACGCTCACACGACTCGCCAGTAGCACCACAGCCTGAGGCTCATCCAGAGTGGCATACAGAAATGCCGTGGACACATCAAGCCCCCAAAGAGACATTTTCAACCTTGGGAGCAATCGTTGAAATGCTGAATTAAGTGGGGAGGCGGGTGGCCCTTGAAGATTGATGTGCAATTTGTGCAGCTTCATTTCCCCTTGTTAAGTATCTGAATTCGGATGTCCCCGTGCCCTCCTTGAGACCATCCAGCTCCCTCCATCCCCCTCCCTTGCTTGACCATATGCTCCTGAGAATCTGTTTGCAGGAAATATTTACTGACATTTGGTGGATTGACCAGTTATTTGCCTTTATATGGGTGTAAGTGTCAGTAAATATTCCCTGCATGAATTCCCGGCGACTGGTTAAGAAGTCATCCTTCTAGGGGTCATTCTTTCCAGGGATGCTTCTTTCTAGAAAACCTCTTGAAACCCCAGGGAAAATGGTGGGTTGTTTTTTTCAAGAACGATGGTTGAAAATAATGGGGAATCAACCCCAAATATTGGAAATTGAGCTTGTTGATTCCCTGGCAAACCCCCCTGCCAAAAACAAGGTATGGCTCAAAGAGGTTTACAACAAGTTCCCTGCATGGAATCTGAATGCCGGGGGCATCCCTGCTAAAAAACATAGGCTAAATTCGGGCCCTGAAATTGTTTTTGGCCTTCATTGACCATTGCAAAGCAGGATGTGTCTACGTGTTTATTACCCATGTGCTAGCAACTATGTGTATCTTGGGCATCACCCTCAGTAGCTGTCATTGAATTATGCAAATTAATCCTGCTAGTGCAACGTCTCCGCTTGCAACCAAGGAAAGTACGCTGATGCCTCCTGGCGCCACTGCGCTGGAGCTCATGAGGGTGCGAATGATTTGCACCAGTGTTTGGGCCCTGTCTCTGTGCCTCTCCACGTGGTACAAGGGGGATCGACCGTTTCTTTCACATCTGCAAACAACGACATCAGTTGCTCTTGGCCGTCTTCACTTGAGATCATATCAATGGCTTGCTGCGGATGCGTTACGTGCTCGCAAACTGCTTTTTTATATCCGGCCAAAGCATCATTATCTCTGGCATCTTTTGTCAGCGACCACCGCCTCGAAGTTTAATCCTATGCAGCTGTCAAATTTTATAGACGAAGACCACATGAAAGCCCTTCGGGGGATCAGTTTGTCTTGCCATCCGAGAACATTTTTGAAGACATGGGCAAGACGCTACATCTTGAAACGGCACTTGGTATGGCACCGCATCAGATCGGAAAAGGCGCGTGTCAGATGAAATATATGGGAATGAATGACAATATGATAACAAATGACAATATGATAATGAGACATAAATATCGAATCTTTGGTTTATATTATTTTTGCCAACTAGTGGTCTGATACTGGCGATGACGCCAAGCAGAACAGGGTTTGTCGATTCCCGTGCTGCATGGTATCTTGCAACATATGTGGGGGGCTTGTTTGTTCCTGCCCTGAAACTGTGAGATTTGTGTTCTTGTGGCAGCCCATGCACTTCCTGAAACAACGTTGGAAATCGCAATGACTCATGTGTGCCACAACCAGTTCCATATGGAGCTCATTGGCAATTGCACGGTTTGCAGGCCCATCCCCAAAAAATCATTTCACACTGCAATGTGTCTCAATAATAGTTATATATTTGTCTTCACATGATATTTGTGTTCTCATTGAGCTTTAGACCACCGGACGTGTATATGTTTGATATATAACAAATAAAAACACAAGTTCGAAATCCATTTTTAATGCAAAGAGAGAGAAAGAGAGAGAGAAAGAGAGAGAGAGAGAGAGAAGAGAGAGAGAGAGAAAGAGAGAGAGAGAGAGAGAGAGAGAGAGAGGAGAGAGAGAGAGACTGAGAGTGGAGGGAGTGAGAGAGGGGAAGGTTGAGAGGGTGGGAGGGGAGGGAGGGAGGGAGGGAGGGAGGGAGGGAGGGAGGGAGGGAGGGAGAGAGATAGAGAGAGATGCGCGTAACCGAGTTCGTGGCATGCTCGCAGCACTTTCGCAACTCGAGGTGCAGATTGTGTGCAGTTGGCGCAGCACTTTCACAAACACCAAGGACAAAACTTGCCACACCGGCAGCAATGCGTTACCAAGTGCGATGTGGATGGCAAGACAGGCACCCAATATGCAACCGGTTGAATCATGATAATGCGTCCGGTTGCATTATGAGCGGGCTGGTTGCATATGCCTCTGAGAAAACGCGACCGGTTGCATTAAATGCGCCTAAGGGTTCTCCAGGTAATACCCTAAAGCCCAGGCTTTTTGCCAGCGCCGTGCTCCGCAGTCCAACGTTGGTCCGCAAAAGCATTTTAGCTAGCGCAATAGCTTTCCAAGAGCTAAATCTTTAGCTAAAATTTACCAACCGGCCTTGACAAACTAGCCATTCGGCGCCCCTTGATAAAATGGCCATTGGGGCTGGCCTTGATAAAACGGCCATCGGAGCTGGCTGGCCATTGAGCCGCTTTCGGCCAGAAGTGGCCTGGGCCGGCCGAGAATTTCTTTGCGTGGGATCGTATGGAGTCGGTAATCCGTGGCTCAAATCCAAGGGATCCGGCCATTTGGCCGCTTCTGCTTGATAAAACGGGCCACTGGCCTGATAAAACTGCCATTAAGGCTTGCCGGCCTTGATAAAACGGCCATCGGCTTTGATAAAACGGCCACTGCGGCTGGCCGGTCTTCGCTTTGCCAGCGCTTGATAAAACAAAAGCTTCACCTAGCCGCTGAGAAATTCATTACACCGTACAATATGAAATCGGCCATCCGCAGCCCGAATCTAGTAATACCCTAAAGCCCAGGCTTTTTGCCAGCGCCGTGCTCCGCAGTCCAACGTTGGTCCGCAAAAGCATTTTAGCTAGCACAATAGGTTTCCAAGAGCTAAATCTTTAGCTAAAATTTGCCAACCGGCCTTGACAAACTAGCCATTCGGCGCCCCTTGATAAAATGGCCATTGGGGCTGGCCTTGATAAAACGGCCATCGGAGCTGGCTGGCCATTGAGCCGCTTTCGGCCAGAAGTGGCCTGGGCCGGCCGAGAATTTCTTTGCGTGGGATCGTATGGAGTCGGTAATCCGTGGCTCAAATCCAAGGGATCCGGCCATTTGGCCGCTTCTGCTTGATAAAACGGGCCACTGGCCTGATAAAACTGCCATGAAGGCTTGCCGGCCTTGATAAAACGGCCATCGGCTTTGATAAAACGGCCACTGCGGCTGGCCGGTCTTCGCTTTGCCAGCGCTTGATAAAACAAAAGCTTCACCTGGCCGCTGATAAATTCATTACACCGTACAATATGAAATCGGCCATCCGCAGCCCGAATCTAAGGATCTGTCAATTCTCCTCCGTTGGCCTTAGCATTGGGCCGCCTTTGGCTAGAAGATAATTTCTTTGCGTGGGATCATATGGAATCGGCCATATGTGGATCTGGTATTTCGGCTGCCTTGGCCCTGACGAAGCAGCCGCGCTTCTACGTTAATAGACAGGTCGCCAGCGAGGTCGCCGAAAACATTTTTAACTGGCAAAATAATTTTCTGAGAGCTAAATCTTTACCAAAATTGGCAAACCGGCATTAGGCCTCCCTTGATGGCCATTGGGGCTCTTGCGCGGGATCATATGGAATCGGCAATCCGTGGCTCAAGTCTAGGAAACTGGCCAGTTGATCATATGGAATCGGCCATCCGTGATCTAGGATCTATTCGGCTGCCTTGGCCTTGAGAAAACGGCCATTGGAGCTGGCCTTGGATAAAACGGTCACTGGGCCGCTATTCGCTAAAAGTGGCCGGGCCCGGCCGCTGATAATATCTTTGTGTGGGGTCACTATGGAATCGGCCACCGTAGCTCAAATCTAATGGAGCTGGCCTTGGGCCGCTTTTTCCCAGAAACGGCTTGGCCCCCCGCTGATAACTTCTTTGTTGATAAAACGGTCATTGGGCCGCTCTTGGCCGAAAGTGGCCTGACCCGACCGCTGACAAATTCTTTTATTGGGTTGCGCGAATATCCGCGGCTGAAATGTCTAGAGATCTGCAAAATGTTGAGGTGGGAGGCCCAGCTTTCCGACAACTGAGGCCCGCTTCCGTCGCAGTTCTTAAACGGAGGCCCGCTTCTCTCCTGGGAGATCCACCTTCGGGTTGGCCGATCTGAGCGGGCGCCGGCT